TAAAATATATATATATATATATATATATATATATATGCAATTAATTAATTTGATATTTTAAGTAAGTATGTGCAGTGCAGAAAAATATTTATGAACTGCAAATCAATTTTAGAAAATATTTACAGACACATAAGATAAGATATTGTACTGATATTTTGATATAGCATGGTGTGTTTAGTTTTACAGTCCCAATAAATTTTTTAGATTTATTTGATACTACAAATTATTTATATAATTTTCTAAATCTAGTATGTATAGAAAAATCTGAAAGATGACAGATTAGGTAATTTGAGTTATAAAATCTATTTTAGTTATATATTGAGCATATATGGACTTGAAAATTTTTGTACATTAACTAAAATGCAGTAAATATATGTAAATGAAATATTGTTATTATTGAATTATTATACGTCTTTTTAAAAAAAAAAAAATTATAGCCGAAAGGATGTATTATATAATCTGAAAGATTATAGTTTCACATACATGATTTGAAAAAATTACGTTGGCTTTTTAACCTACTAAATTTGGTAAATAGGATACCTTATTATATAAGTATAGATTTTGATTGTTTTTTCTCACCCGAGTTTATGGGATTTTTATGTCAAGATAAGAAGGATTAAAAATTAGAAGTTCAGCATAAATTTATAAGAAGGATTTTTTTATGGGATTTACGTACATAATTTTTTATGTTAAGATTTATAAGAAGGATTTTTTTATGTCAGCATAATTATAAATGCATTAATTACTACTTGATAAAATTAAAAGTTTATTAATTAAGTTTGACTTTTCTACCTACTATATTTAGTAAATAGGATCCCCTTTAATATAAGTATAGATTTTATATGTTTCCTTGACTTAATTAAATTGTCATTATGAAAAAACCTTGTTTGATATGTATCTATTATTCTTGACAATACTTGTTAAGCTTTGGAAGTGTTAACACATATAAGATATGTTCTATAGACATTATCCTCTAGATAAGGATTATTTTGGATGATGAAGGAGAAAAATAGTATATAAGTTATGTAATGAAATCAATATAGTTCAATGTTATACTCCTGAAAAATTACAAAATAAAAATATCTGCATATTTTATTATTTTGTCTGTGAATCTGAATGCCCATGAAAGTATGTGTATTAATTTTAACATGTGACATGTGTATGTTGTTTGGAATATATATGGAGAAACTATATGTGTCAAAGTTTGCAATTACGACATGAATATAGTTTGAAAATTAAAGTTGAGAATTTTGATCCGTAATTTTATGCATTGATTATGGACGTGGTCCAAATTTATTGAGCCTAAATATATTTTGAATATCCTGAACTTTAGTCTAACTGACTAATGAATTAAATAAATGGTATACAACTTGTATAATTATTTTATAATTTTGTCATTAACTTAATAGAATTATCTTGTTGAATTTTATACCTATAGATTTGAGTTTCCCTAAAAGAATTATACAATTAAAAGTATCTCTAGTGAATATGAATACCATATTGACCTAACCACCCTGAAGGATTGGTCTGTTGACCAGTATTATAATTGAATTAGAGTTATCACACAAATCTCCTTAAAATATTGATCTAGTAAATAGTCTCGTTGATTTTTGGATAAATTCACGGTCTTTTGATTTTAAATATGTTTTGCATATTCAATATAACCTTAATGAAATTATGTAACGAGAACGTTACAAAGATTGAATCAATATACAAATTATTAAATTATTTATGTTTGCTTGTATATTTATGCATACCCTTGAATTATATTGTTAATAGCTACAATAATAATATTATATGTAGTTACCAAAGCACGTGATCTTTAACAAAAAATAAACAATAAAAAATACTAGTAGCTATAATAAAAAGTTCATAACCAAAAGTTCAATTGTGATGCATGAAGCAAAATAGTATTAACATGGAAATAAATTATTAAAATACGATGTCCAACTTGTATTTGATAATTATCATGAGCATTGCATCATATTGAACAACCGCTAACATGTTCTTCGAGGTCGGCGTCCAGCCCATCAAGTCGCCACGTTCGACCTCCACGAACGCTGACCAGGGGCGTAGATTCCTAAGAGCCGAGAGGTCAATGAATGTCGAAAGCCAACCCAAAGATTCCTTAAGATAGGCTCCCACATGAATGTTGTGCTCGAAAATAATAAATATTGCCACTTGGCAATTAATGATTGATGATGAGACAGACCACCCTAGCCTGCCACCCTATGGTTCCTAGCCCGGCAAAAATGACTGTCTGCATTTAATGCTCCACATGTGTGCATTAAATGTTGACATGAAATGATTATGAAAAAACCTCAAATGACATTTAATCTGTCAGAGAAAAGTCGGCCTGCCTGCCAGAGTCACTGTGCGACAAGACGGGTGAACAATGTCCGAATAGTGTTCAATTAAGGCTACTATAAATAGAACACCCAATCCATTTAATTTGGGTTGTTGAAATCATCAACTACTACTTTCTCTCTCTAGAATCTGTAATAAATTTTCGTAATTATTTACAAGTGTAATCAAAGTGTCGACATCACCATCAGAGACCGATCTCGTAATTAAGTAATAAAATTCCACTTAATCGTATATCTTTCTTATCTTTCCTTTTTCATTTTCATTAAATTCAATCTTAACCGTTGATCGGATTTGTCCATCAACAACACCAATCTTTGAGAGTTAAGAATTGGTTTTGAAATGTCCAATTATGGCCCTTGCTCACCTTGGTTTTGTTTTTCTGCCCGATGATTTTTCCGACCAAACTCTGGGAGCAATCTTCCGAACTATGTTGAATATCTTCTGATTCTAGACGATGAAATGCTAAGCGCAAAATTCGTCTCTCAATGTACAGATCCATTCCAAGCCGACCTTTGCCCAACAGCATGCATTGTAGTTTGGCCGGGTGGGTTTTGTAGCTATATCTAAGAGCGTCTCCAGTGTGGCGTTATCTCTCAAGA